ACGAAATTATATACTAAAAAGTAAAATGCGTATAAAATTCTTCAGTACTTTTTAGTATTTTACCGAAATGGCATGTGATAAAAACCAAACATACTGTCAGGTTCGGTGAGTCCGGGATTGGACGCACCTCGGGTGGCAGGAAGTTTCCCGAACTCACCTCGCTTCGCTCGGTGAGTTCGGGAAACTTCCAGCAACCCTCGGTGCGTCCAATCCCGGACTCACCTCCCTGCAAGTATGTTTGTTATAGAACCCACCTGCTGACGTATGTTTAGGAGGTGGGTTCGAGATCGATATTTCGGCGGCTGCCGTTATGAAGCGATTTGAACAAATTTCAGACGAAGATTTAAATAAAAAATAAATTAACTGTTAAAAATTGTTTTATAATTATTATATTTTTTATTCCGTTTGATGAAAATAGAATATTCTCTATTCAAAGTGGAAGATGGCCGCCGAGATTTTTTCGGCACAGGCGTTTTATATAAATAAATCTTGGCATTGTTTTCGCAGAATTTGTTCATTTTCTCTTTTCAAGAATAAGGGAATATTGTAGAGAATTTTTTAGCTTTAATTTAAGCCTAATAAGTTTGTTGTTTGTGTACTATGTTGGAGGCTAAAATGTTCGTTATCCAAACACGAAATACTAAAAAGTAAAATGCGTATAAAATTCTTCAGTACTTTTTAGTATTTTACCGAAATGGCATGTGATAAAACCAAACATACTTGCAGTTTTGGTAAGTCCGGAATTGAACGCACCTCGGGTGGCTGAAAGTTTCCCGAACTCACCTCTCCAGCCACCCTCGGTGCGTCCAATCTCGGACTCACCTCCCTGCAAGTATGTTTGTTATATAACCTCCCCACACCCCCATCTGCATGTATATAAGCTTATTTATAATATACTGTTGGGATATCTTACATTCAGGGCATTTTTTAACAATATAACTACTGGGGCATTTACCCCTGTAGGCCCTTTGCTTGCCCAAGTAGTGAAGCATAATTTTCAGATGAACTGGGCCCTTTTGATCATTAGTAAAAGGTTAACCTTGTTGAAAATGCTGCATCTGCCTGCTTTTTCATAACCTCTCACATTCTCGACATTAATTCCCTCTTATAAAAGTCAGCACAGGCAGGAGTGGTGCTAAAAGTGGGTCGTGGGTGTGGAACACCCCCAATTGTCAGGTAGTCGGCAAATTACCTAATACCCGTTGGTGAAATGAAATACTAATTATTGTTTGCAGTTAGTAGGCAATATTTCACTTACACCCACCCCACCCCCATTATTTATATAGCACTAGCGGTGCCCCTGAGCACAGAGTGGTTTTTATGTAACCGTATAAACTATGTGGGGAAAAGGCTCTCATTGATACGAAGGCCCAGTAGTTGTAATTTCTTAAAAAATGCCTTACTTACATTTCAAAGACATTAACCACAACAAGCACAGTAAGGACATTACATCAGGAAACTGTTTATTCGTGTTGAGGGAACTGATTCGTTATTGAGTGATCTTGATTGTGGTGTACCTCAGGGATCTGTGTTGGGTCCTCTGTTGTATTCACTCTATACTGCCCCTCTCGCGGATGTGGCTAGGCGCCACAATCTGCGCTTTCACTTTTTGCTGATGATGGGCAACTTTACATTGCATTCAAAACGAATGATCGTGATGATTTAATATCATCTAAGATCCGTATGGAGGAATGTATACTTGAATTGGGAAACTGGTTGATGTTGAATAAATTGAAACTAAATAGTGGCAAAACGGAGCTTATATTAGTCCATTCACGCTATCATCTGATGCCTCCCTTAAATTATATCATGGGGGGAAAGGAAAAAATTGTGCCAACTGTTTCAGCAAGAAATCTGGGGGTGATTTTTGATGAGTGGATCAGATTGGGCGAACATATTAATGGTATCTGCAAGTCAGCTTACTACCATATTAGGAATATTTCAAGAATTAAGAAGTATCTACCTCGAACTTGCTTAGAAATAATTATTCATGCATTTATAACTTCAAGATTGGATTATTGTAACTCCCTGTTGTATGGTGTACCCAAATATTTGCTTCAGAAGCTTCAGAGAGTCCAAAATACTGCAGCTCGTTTACTAACTGATACTAAGAAATCGGCGCATATCACCCCAGTTCTTATCGAATTGCATTGGTTACCTGTCCAATACCGTATTCAATTCAAGATTATACTTCTTGTCTACAAAGCTGTTAATGATCTTGCTCCATCGTATCTGAAGGAACTTATGCTGTGTCGTACTTCGCAGCGTACTCTTCGATCAAATGGAAATGAATTGCTCCAGATTCCTTATTCTAGACTAAAGACATACGGAGACAGATCGTTCTGTGTTGCTGGACCAAGATTGTGGAATGATTTACCTGTTCATCTTCGGATGTGTGAATCATTAACCATTTTTAAGAAGTTTCTTAAAACATATCTTTTTAACTTGTTTTTAAATAGTGTATGATGTATTCTATAGTTTTAACATTCTTAACACTAGTTTTAAGATTGGATTTTGTATTACTGTAAAGCGCCTAGAACAGTCTTGGTTTGTGCGCTATATAAATGTTTATTATTATTATTATTATTATTATTATTATTATTATTATTATTATTATTATTATTATTATTATTATTATTATTATTATTATTATTATTATTATTATTATTATTATTATTATTATTATTATTATTACATATGCTAATGCAATTCAGTAAATATCTTGTACCAAATGCATTATGATTTTCGCAAAAAAGATATTTTAAAATACTCGGTAATTCAAAGAGGTTAAATATGCCTTTCATTACCTTTCAGGCAATCAGTTTCAAATGTCTTGGGACAGATGCAACAAAACCTTTGAATTTTAACAAACGTCATTCCCCCGCCCCCTATTCAATGTTGTGTCCCATTTCTACTCCAATTTGATGCTCTTTGGTTCAATTAACATTGATTGAGGGTGGAGGAGGGAGAGGGGAGCGGTATTGTGTGTAGCAAACTGTATTGATCCATGCGTGCAATCTAAAACTGCATGTATCCCAACAACTTCTGAAAGTGATTGCACGCTTCTGGTTTTCATTTTATATTGCTGCATGGTTCGGTCATTTATTGCAATTTTGTTTATTAATGGTTTAGCAGCTAGCAAACGAAAGAGGATACAGGGGAAATTACAACGATAAAATATCGTATTTTATGGCATAGTGACTGTGTTTCGGGCACATGCATATGTGACATGTATTGACTATATTATATACATGTTTGTTTATAAGTTTATAATTTCATTAAGTCGTATAAAAATACGTATTTCGTTTTTGCATCATTGCCAGATGAAGAAGATATAATAGTAAACACAAGATATTTGTCTGCCAAAGTTTAAGAATTTTGTCGTTAAATTACCTGGACATTAAAACTGCGGACCTGTCGCATAACACTGTCTTGCGACATGATATTATAATTTGCATATCCGGTGTCACAGGAAATTTGGCCCCCCCGAAAATTTGGCCCCCCGGGCCATATTTCCTAGGAAATTTGGCCCCCCCCTTCGGAAATTTGGCCCCCTCGAAAACATAGTTTACTTTATCGCTATAAGCTCGGAAATCGTCAAGCTTTTTCTAAAACCAAGATCCTAAAAGTGTTTGTCAGTATTTATAGTTAGTTTGCATAATTTATTTGTGTCGAAATTCGTCATTGCGGCCAAGAGCTAAAAGTTTGAAGGAAAGCGTGTCTAAAAGTTTGTGCTTTTGTGTGTGCGGAATGTTTTTGTGAGCCATGAAGCATGCAGTCTACGTCCGTTTTTACGGAATGCTTCTGTATAATCGATTACATGATTGGGATGCATTGCATATTGTGTATATGTAAGTAAAATGCATAGGAAAAGTTTTTTTTTGCGAAATAACCACACATTTGATTTTGTTTTTCGAACAAACGTTTCGACTTAAAAGTCTATTTTTACCCTATACTAATGCTAATTACTCCCTGTTATTTATTAGACGCGTGGATATTAACATATTCGCCAACGCATGATGTCATCGTTTGCTATAAAAGTGCGGTTGTTATTCTGACTAATTTTATGCTATGTGACTAAATTTATAGATCCAAATAACTTGTAATATCTTAGAAATTCCTATCTCTAAAAATCGTTTCGTGTCCTTAGCTTAAAGCTAAGCCATTATGCTTTAACGTTGTCCTCAACAGATACCCATGTGTGATGTGTCTGGCATGACTGCATTAGCACATTATTATTTTTACGCTTTCCTGTGTATATATGTTGTGCATGTCCAATGTTTCATATAATATGCGTAATAACCTACATAACTTTTAGTTAATTTTCTTCTAGATTTTTAGTAAAATAAGCATTTTCCAATTTTGAATTTACACTGTAGGCTAATAACTTGGATAGCTTGCCATTATTCCGAGCGGATACTATCGTATTTAAATACACGTAAAAAATACGATATTTTTACGTGTGAAAATATCATTTGTTGTAAAACGCATTGCCACGGACGTTTTATTGTTTTTCACTGAATTTTGTTTACATAATAAACAGAAAAATACATGTGTGCTTGGAAATACCAGATTTATTTCTCGTGTTGAACATGATATCTCACTCGTTCGCTGTGCTCACTCGTGAGATATCATGTTCAACACTCGAAATAAATCTGGTATTTCCGCGCTCCCATGTATTATTCTCTACATGCAGTAACGGAATTGTAAAGAATAGAAGTGGATAGCGGAAAAAATAAGATATAGCCTACTTTCACTTCGTGTTTTATATATCTAAGACGCTTAAAAATACAATAGGCTTTCGTTTTAAAACCCGCTAAGGCATGAACTACGTGCAGGCGAGCGTAAGGCGACTTTGGCAGCTATAATCTATATCACTGGTTTTGCTTGTAACCGGTAACTGCGTTTGCATGTCGAAATTTCTATATTATAATGTTCGCAACAACTACAGGTCTTGTACAGCCTAAGCTTAAATTTATATAACAGTTGAAAAAATTTACCTGTGCTGTGTATGTACGCTTTGGGTGTTCTTTAGTCTCGTAGCATGATACCTCAACCCAGTCTCTGTTGGGCGACGAAGAGAAGGAAAAGTAGGAAACTTTGAACACTTGTGCGTTCGTTTCTAGGTCGTCTGTTTCTTTCAACACATCACGACTAAAAAAACCATCTGCTAAGCTGTGCATACCACCTACCAAAGTATTCATATTCCGCGACCACCACTTTCCAAGCTCATCACGAAGAAGTTCCACCAAAGACATTTCAAGGAATGGATTATAGGTAAATACAATGTAACCTCGAACTGCGTCGTTGGACCAGGGCAAAAGTTTAGCCAGGGTTTCCACATCTAAATCTCGTCGACTGTCTTCGGGGACCTTTGCTTTAATTACATCTATATTGCTTTCGAGAAAACTTTCCAATGTAAACTGGCTCCAAATGTTAATCCAGTTGTACCATACATTGATTTCTTCATCAATGGTAGTTGTATTTTCTAACCACCTTTTCAACTGGTTACTGACAACTTGGGTTGTTCGCTCGTAATATTCATCTAAACATCATTTATATATAATTTACATTGGGAATAAAATTGGCGAAAACAAAGTGAAATTTGAGTGACAGGACGTTTGGCTTACAGAAATTTGGCCGACAGACACTAGAGTGACAGATGTTTGACCGACAGAACCTTTCATCGACAGACAATGACAGTTCACCTCCATATACGGACCTGTTTGTTATGATGTTTATGATGTTACTCTGAGTGTATATCCACACCGGGCAAGCTTGAAACATATGCCTGGCCACGGTGGGAATCGAACCTACGACCTCTGGAATACTATCCCAATGCTCTGCCAACTGAGCTACGCGGTCAGGTCGGCTCGAGTATGTGATATTTCAGAACTGAGTCTAGATTGCATTTCCGGGGCTTTGGGAGGTTTCAGATTTCAAAATTTCCTGAGGGAGCATGCCCCCGGGACACCCTAAGAAACTCACGCCTTTGGCGTTCGATATAGCCCCCCTAATCCAAAAATAGCTCAGCGGTCCCTGATCAAGAATTATTCAGACCTCGGTCAATGTTATCCGTCTCAGTTCGCTTCGGCAGATAACATTGAGCTCGGTCTGAATAATTCTTGGTATAATGCTCAGCCTCGTCCAATAATTGTTTATTATTTCAAGACGTTGTTTCAAAAAATTGAAATGTCGGTGAATTGTCCTGTCGGCCTAATGTCTTTTCGGCCAAATATCGTGACGGCAAAATGTCTGTCGGTGAAATGTTCTTTCGGTCAAACGTCTGTCGGTCTAGTGTGTTTCGGCCAAATGTCTGTCGGCCAAACATGGGTCTTCGTTGACTGGTGCTCAGTGACCGCGACACTTGCTAATGTCATAATTATGTACTATTTAAGATACCCTGAGACATTTCTTCTAAACAACTTAAAGGAGCAGTGTCACGCCTTCTGCGCATCTCTTCTAAAACTACAGCCTTATTTTTGGAAATTTATGATTCAAGATGGCGGCCGATTGCGTGTAAGTGCATTGCAGGAAAGGCAAAAATTTTGGCATATAAATGTAATTAAATCAAAGTGTGGAAAGTCCAAGAATACGCAGCAAAATAGCATACCAATTTTTGAATATAGTTGGGGCAAAAAGCATGATAAATAATGCCAAAAATGGAGGCTTCAGTTGATAGAGTTCATAAAGCGATGGCAATTTCTCTGTCCATTTGCTGTGGTTGGAATTTCTTAAGAGGTAAAATAATTGAATTCATAAATAAGCTAATTTAGAAATGTACAGCATAGGTATAGCCTATAGCGATTTTAGGCATTCGTAGCAACAACAACAAACGACTAATTACTAGCGCATGAGTCTCAGACAAATCACAGGCGAACTAACTTTGCTGCATGATCAGGCAGTGCTCTATCGATGATTATAGTGTGAAGCTATGAATATATATATATAAACAGAAAAGATATGCACAATATGATAAATGTTGAACGAAACATGAATATTCTTTGAATTGATATGAAGGCCTACCAGAAATATATAGTCGAATATTAGGCAATTTTTTATAATGATTGTAAATAATTACATATTGGCCATTCCATTCCACAATCCACAAGTTATATTGTTAACAGGGAAGCAAGCCCGTGTGGGGTAACCAAGCTAGCTCACTTAACAATGACAATTTTCACCTTTGTATTATTGTTTATATTTTATTGTTTAGTCTTGACATCATTAATGACTATCTAGGCAAAGCGGTTAATTAACTAGCTTACCGTGTAAGTTCCCCGTTCCCAAAGTATGCCTGTTCGCGGGTTAGGTAGTGGCATAACTCTGGGGAACTCGAATCGAAATCGTTATTTGATTGGCTGCCGCGATCATCAATGCTGCCAACACAATTAATGCGTGTTTTTTGCGAGAATTACGCGTGGACATACACGAAGAGAGAATTATCAATGTTTATCAGATTTGGAATGCGAAATCAAACAATATACATCGAAGGATATAATATTAATCGCATTAAAAATTATTGGGACGTTGGGTATATACTTACAAAATGGCATGGTATTTTTGAATGACTTTTTATCGATCTACAGTACACGAGTATATTGTATGTGGAAACGACGGCCTAACAAGTTTCGTAATATCCCATTATATAAACCATGAAAGAATTGGCTAAATAAAATCATCGCAGACGTTGTCGTTGTTTTGTTAAATTGACATATTGTTGCCAGAACTTTGGAGTGACAGCTTTTGCTTGTGTTAAAGCTTTAAACAATACAGTACATTAGATCTTCCGTTTCATGTTTACTTGACATATATGTGCTAAGAGGTATCAAATTGATATTATGGTCAACACTCAACATGTTGTAACCTGTGGTCTTTGTGCTTTTGTAAAATGAGTTATCTGTATATATATATATATATATATATATATATATATATATATATATATATATATATATATATATATATATATATATATATATATATATATGTTTTTGTAGCATCTGTATAAATTATAGAATAATTAATTTAAAAGTCGCCCAGGTTGTAAAACATTTGGTAAAAGACCTGCTTTGTAAATGATTGCCACTTGACAGCATGATGTAAGACTGTAACTAAGCCAAACCTGAAATAATTTTTGCATCAAGGTAGCAGTTAATGAAACATTTGTGTCTGGATAAAAGATAAGTGGTGAATTTAAATACAGATGTTTCCTTGTCTGTTGCTAATAATGTGAAACAATGTTGTTTATAGCAATGAGTCATTGTGGATCAATAACAATGCTCATTGGCTAAAAATATACAAGCATTGATTCCATTTCCAAACTATTATTCTATGTGAATATATTGGCAATTATATATAAAAGGAGATACAGTAGGATTGAAATTGCTACCAGTTTCAATGAAATAACTACTTTAGTTTCTGTATCAAGCCTCCTGGGGGTTATACTAGTCCCAAGCATCATTGAGGGGGCACTTGTTCTAAATATATGCAATAAGTCTGGTTACCATTAAAAAATATCCATATTCAGAGTGACCGTTGTACTATCTTTCAGGGATGGATTTACTGGGTGGGTGCACACACCTAGCCCTCGCCAGAGGAGGTGCAGAGGGTGCTATTTTTCATGATAAAGCAAAAAGACAAAATGAGATACAGTAATTTGAGTAATAACATGATGATAAGTGAACTGTGAACAACAATTACAATTCAAATACAGTAGTTGATGGGCGGGCGGCACACGTGACCGACACAACTCGGCATGAGCACTCTACAAGCATGCTGGATCAATCCCTGCTATATTTTATTAAAATGCTGCAGAAATGCAATTATAATTCATGATTTTAATAGTTAATTGAATGAAGGCTGCATGGCTAAAAGAGGGGGGGGGGGGTATTTATTTTGATTTTTGTATCCAAAGAGGAGGGTATTGGAGAGGGGCTTAAAAGAGTGGGGGCTAAATATAGAAATTACAGTACCTCCATTCCTTCCTCTCCCTTCCCAAACATGGTCAATATATTGTATATTATGTACCTGGTAATATGGAGTAATGAGCTAGTAAATATATCCTTGCCTATACTTAGTTGCTGATTAAATGTTCAAAGATACACAGTGTGAAGCATGAAAAACAAATGGGAGATACCCACTGCAACAAAATTTCAGCAAATATATATGGCTTTATGTTTGTGATGTTACTCTGAGTGCATATCCACACCGGGCGAGCTTGAAAAATATGCCCGGCCACGGTGGGATTCGAACCTACGACCTTTGGAATACCAGCCCAATGCTCTTCCAACTGAGCTACGCGGTCAGGACGGTTCGAGTAAGTGATATTTCGGAACAGTATCTAGTTCCTTCAATACCAATGTGTTCTTGTAATATGATTTTTTTTCTGTGCTGGTGTTGTGTACTCAGGTGAATAATATGTTTGTGATGTTACTCTGAGTGCATATCCACACCGGGCGAGCTTGAAAAATATGCCCGTCCACGGTGGGATTCGAACCTACGACCTTTGGAATACCAGCCCAATGCTCTTCCAACTGAGCTACGCGGTCAGGACGGTTTGAGTAAGTGATATTTCGGAACAGTATCTAGTTCCTTCAATACCAATGTGTTCTTGTAATATGAATTTTTTTCTGTGTTGGTGTTGTGTACTCAGGTGAATAATATGTTTGTGATGTTACTCTGAGTGCATATCCACACCGGGCGCGCTTGAAAAATATGCCCGGCCACGGTGGGATTCGAACCTACGACCTTTGGAATACCAGCCCAATGCTCTTCCAACTGAGCTACGCGGTCAGGACGGTTCGAGTAAGTGATATTTCGGAACAGTATCTAGTTCCTTCAATACCAATGTGTTCTTGTAATATGAATTTTTTCTGTGTTGGTGTTGTGTACTCAGGTGAATAATATGTTTGTGATGTTACTCTGAGTGCATATCCACACCGGGCGAGCTTGAAAAATATGCCCGGCCACGGTGGGATTCGAACCTACGACCTTTGGAATACCAGCCCACCGTGGCCGGGCATATTTTTCAAGCTCGCCCGGTGTGGATATGCACTCAGAGTAACATCACAAACATATTATTCACCTGAGTACACAACATCAGCACAGAAAAAAATTCATATTACAAGAACACATTGGTATTGAAGGAACTAGATACTGTTCGGAAATATCACTTACTCGAACCGTCCTGACCGCGTAGCTCAGTTGGAAGAGCATTGGGCTAGTATTCCAAAGGTCGTAGGTTCGAATCCCACCGTGGCCGGGCATATTTTTTAAGCTCGCCCGGTGTGGATATGCACTCAGAGTAACATCACAAACATATTATTCACCTGAGTACACAACACCAACACAGAAAAAAATTCATATATGGCTTTGTTCACTCCATTTCTTACTTTCCACACAAGTAATTATAATTACAAACACAATGCACTGTTATTTAAAGACAATATGTGCTCCATATATATATGTTAATGTAATATGGGCTAATATAAAAAAAGTGGTTATAATGTTAAAATATGATATATAATACCTTATTTTTCACCCTGCTCGGTTTTCTTTGTTCTTATCGGGGAATATATTCAATATTCCCCTCTAATCAATTTCCGTTTAATAATCCCCTCTAATATTCACCTGCAATTAATAATCCCCTCTAATATTCACCTGCAATGTCTTAGCAGCACAAAATAATGAGAAAAAAACAACATAACGAAGGCAATATGACATTAAGAATTATTTCTATTCTTACCCTTTAATGCGACCTCGCAGTGTGAAAAATAAGTACGTTATTTTGAGACACCTCGGGGATACGTGTTTACTCACCTCGGCGCTACGCGCCTCGGTGAATAAATCACATATCCCCTCGTTGCCTCAAAATAACCTATACATAAACCTCTGACTATAAGCCCTAGACTTATATTCTTTTGTAAGTGATTTTTGATGGGCTAAAACAAGGGGGGAGGGGGCGTATATATGGGAGCCTTATGGACGATCTTTTGTGTTTACTACAAGTCAGTCTTAAACAGGAAAATAAACATGTATTAATAACATGCTTTGGTTAACATAGTTTTTAAATATCGTTCTGTGCTACATGTATATTAAAAGACAATGTCAATGTTGAATAACATAGTGGGCTACTGGACTTATATTCAGGGGACTTATGTTTGGGAGGCTTATATTTGGGATGAGATGAGTGTTAATATATTCAGAGGTTTACAGTATACAGTTGAAAAAAGCTTGTATTTTCTTGTCATATATAAAGTATTCTCTTTGAACATCAAATATACAAGCTAGTTTTGTTCTCGAGTCTCCATGTTCTCTCCTTTATCCCCGTCCACCTGTCACGTGTCCCCCACGTGATAACATGGGATATTACATCCCTCCCTTACTGGGATTTAGAGACGTGCTAAAGTCACACTAAACATAACTAGTAAAATAACCCAAATTTAAAGTCAAATGTCAACTAAGTGTTTGTCATATAAGGTTCACTCAATGTGATTCGTAAAGTACATGCATGCATGTCTTAATACAGTCTGTCAGACGCGGTGACAAGTACTGGGAGCTTGTTAGTCCGACAAGTTCCTTATTCAGCGCTATGCATAGTCTGCTAGATGTCTTGGTGGCGCTCGAACGCGTTGAGGATAACGGTGAGGTTCTTGTTGCTGTTCTTCAGCCTGTGCAATGTTGTCCGGTTCACCGTCCGTATCTTCGAGGTTATCATGTTCTCCATCGGTAGAGTCGCCTTCCGTTGCTTCATTTTGTTGTCTGACGAGCTTGAAGAACGACGTGTTTCTGGTCACTGTCTTTTCTCCCCGCGTGGCGGTTACCATCGAGCCTTTGCAGCTGATTACTTTGTATGGCTTTGGTTCATAGGGGGTTTCGGACTTTCGATGTGAGGGATCACGCTTTAGGACCACGGTATCGCCAGGTCGTACTCTTGATGGCTTGACGTATGCTTTCGAGTCAGCATATTCCTTCATCTTTCTTTTGGCTTTCTGGTCCGTCTCTTGGATCTCGGCCGGGTCCCGTGCATTGGTGTGTACATCGGGTAGCTTAGTTCGGAGTTGGCGATTGAAGAAAGCTGTTGCTGGGGCTTTTCCAGTTGAGCTGTGTGGTGTAGCTCTGAAGTTCCGAAGGAAGTTGGTTAGTTCTTCTCGCCATGGTTTCTGCTGTGTAAGTGCAATCTTCACGATCTTCTTTACCGTCCTCATGAACCGCTCTACTTCGCCATTGGCTCTTGGCCAATAGGGAGTGATCTTTCTGTGGGTAAATCCCAGGTTAGCGGCGCAAGTTGCAAAGGCTTCGGAGTTGAACGGCGGACCGTTATCGGATTTCAGAATTCCTGGAATGCCAAATTGTGAAAAGATGTGTTGGAGTTTAAGAATTACAGCTTGGGCTGCCACTGAACGAATAACTTCAACAATTGGATAGCGTGAGTAGTCGTCAGATACCACCAAGAGGTAGTCCCCTGTTGAGTGTTCAGCAAAGTCAACGCTTATCTCGTCCCACGCTTGATCGGGCAGAGTAGACATTTGTAACGGCTCACGTGCTGCCTCCGGGGTTGCAACTTGGCATGCGAGACAGGGTTTTACTCGCTCTTCGACCATTTTGTTGATTCCAGGGAACCACACCTTCTCTCGTAGTAGGGATTTGGTTTTGGTAATGCCTTGGTGACCTTCGTGAGCCAAGTTTACGACGCGACGTTGTAGCTTGTTTGGAATCACTAATTTCGTTCCGCGAATGATTACTTGGGTTGTTGTTGCAACGGTTAACTCATCTTTGAGGCGTTCGTATGTGTGAAATGTGTCAGTGTCGACCTTTGGATGCTTGGCTAGTTCATGCCACTTGCCTGATCTCAGGTATGTTAATGCCTGGGTCTCAGTTTGTGACTAGCGAAAATAGACAAAAAATCATAAAAAAATAAGTATGGCCTTGATTATTACCATTCAAGTTTTATATGATTTATCAAAGGAGATTCTAAATTTTGACCTACTTTTCGTTGTCATGGCAACGATCACGTGATGTATATTTCGAAAAACAACACAAAAATTGATACGTTTTATTCAGAGGCTCTGCAGCAGTATAATTCGTGACTGAGAGGACGCAGAATTGCGATAATCATTCACACATAATATCACTGTTTATTGAATGAATCTGGAAAGTTTACATTTAGGCTTCGTTTCATTATTTTATGCGGCTATATTACGGCGATCGGCATCAAACGAATGTTAATCGCGTCATTAAATGTTATCTACAAATAAATGTACGATTTCCAAATTAACGCAGGAAACTTTGTTCCCTTGTTAATGTTTTCCGCTAATAAAAATAGCAAAATTTCGTCAAATTACCCTGCTGCAAGTCGAACGCGTTTTTCGCGTGATGAATTTCACGCGCCATAATGAAACAGTCTGCCGCTTATTGTAAGGGATATTATATTTCCAATAACAACATTCATTGCGCATTCAAGCCGATATCTTGAAGCATAGTTAATGCTTGAAGGGAAGCATGCCATGGTGGAAAAGACCGACTAAACTGTACGTGCTATAATTAATTTATAATTCACAAGCAATTTTTCACTGAAAATAAGAAACAATCAACAATTAATACTGAATAATCGCAAGATAGCGCACTATAAGAAGCTTTTATTTATCAGCAGTTCAAAGGTCAGCTGTCGCAAATGATACAATACTTATTGCTATACAAATAGCCAATTATTACATAAAAACTGAATAGTATACCGACTTCTTTGCATTGTATATTCCAAAATAATCCTGTCGCTCATATATACTATATTTTGATTTGAAGCAAACGCCCGAATTCACTAAAATACTCACACAAGGAGCGCATATTCTAACAGACGCATTACTGACAGATCGCGCGTGCAACACGCGCGCAAGATATTATCCAAGCGTGGGCAGACCCAGGCATTAACATGCCTGAGATTGAACGGCGTCTATGACGGCACGGAGGGTTGGGTCACGTCCTGTGGCCTCTGCAATCATGCTGAGGGTGAGTGCAGTTGGTGTTGAAGTTGTGGCAATGTAGTTAATGTACTCTTCAG